GCTAGCAGGTCTGGCCTAAGGGATATTTTAATCTGGTTTTTAAAACAATTTTAAAAAGAAATGGCCAATTAATATTTTGTTTTAATTACTTTTTAAATTTAGTATTTATTGTATTATGTATTGTTTTAAATGGCTGTAAGCCGCCCTGAGTCCGTTGGGAGAAGGGCGGGGTAGAAATTTAAATAAAGTTAAAGTTAAAAGTTAAAGTAATGTTGTAAAAATTACTTGTAATTGCTTTTAGTCATATCAATGCCTTTATATTTATTAGCCACAATTGGAACATGGTTGCAATTTTATTTTGAAACCTCTCAAAAGTAAGGCGAACTTAAAACAAATGATAATACAGTTGAGGGAAGTTCCTAGAAGGAATTCTGAATATATCTTATATGACATACATACCCAATGGCAAGAATTTGTAACAGATTTTGACAGCCTAAGTCGACAAATTGTTGCAATCAATGTTAAGTTAAGCATTGACCGTGTCACTGGGGTTAAATTTCAGACACTTAAGACGTAAATAAATAAATCCCCCACAGCTTCTATGAGAGTAAAAAGTATACTTTTACCCATATTTCATTTTGCCCGAGAAAGGTGTTTTTTATTCACCAATAAAGTTTCAACCACAGATCTAAAAAGTGTCCAGAAAAAAATAAATTCTTAAGTAATTCCCTTAAGATATACAATAAATATGGAAATTTGAACTGTTACATAAAATATTTATTTATGGATGAGCATGGTTTCATGCTCATTCATAAATAACAACTTATTTTAAAGCCAGCTGACAAATTACATATGCTAACCCAATGTTGTAAGCAGAGATATATTCACCCAAGGAGTAGTGTTTTCTGAATTTCAAAAAGTAGGAAAAGAAAGCTGAGTTGGTTGGTTAATGTATGCTAATATAACTGTGTGAGGAACAATTACCATTTCAACTTTTTGGAGTACCTTGACAAAATGAGTCCGACAGATTGAGAAAAGAGGATGAGAAAAAATGATAAAAGACAGACTTCTATCACATTAAATATATTTTGTATGCTATTTATATTTATGAAAACATTAACTGTAATGTTACCATCTTCTTCTTCCATTCCAACAGGTCCAGATTGTGGAGTCTCTCCATTTTTTAGACAGTTATGAATATATGTTGCCTTCCACCGGGCATATTTTCTGTGCTGAACATTCTAGAAAGTTGATGGAGATTTTATAATTTAAATTTGTTCATGTTTTAGATTGGGTAAGTTCAAAATTGAAAAGCAAAATATAAGAGTTTTATACAAATTTAATAACTAAATAAATTTTTTAAAAAAATTAAATTGCATATATTATTATTTAATTCTGCTGTGTTTGTTCCCTGGAAAATAATAACTGCAATATGAACTTTTACTGGTCTTCTAATTCACATTTTTACAAGTTTATAGTGTGAATGGGAAACCTAGCCCAATGGATAGATACAGCCATCTTAGATGAAATTCTTGTCTACCACTGTATCTATTTCCTGATGATCCATGTACTTACTATATATCTGTATCCATTGAAAAAGTTGTAAAATGGATAAAATGCTCAGGGAACTTCTTCATGTGGGGAATGGGGGATATGGGCAAAGTACAGCTGATGCTTCATCTAGAACATCCTGGAAGCCATCCTAATCAAGAAGGCATACAGTGAAATGCTGTTCTGTCAACAATAAGGGAATAATGACTTTTGCCTCTATTCTGCATAAGGATAGAAATACATCTGGCCCATTAGGGAAGGTATTTATGAGGTAACTTTAGTATCATTAATTTCTAGGCCTACAGTTTCAGCCTACAACCCTAAAATTCCAACATGGGCATTATTAAAAACTATTTCAAAATTTGCATAATAAAAATAGAAAGTATTCCCTCACATTTGCTTTGAACAACCCTTCAAATCTATACACTCTGACCTATTCCTTTAAGAGAGACTCTTAGCCCTCAAAACATGTTTTTTGCAGAAGGAGTACAAAAAGTATACTTAAGGGTTATTTGCACTTCTCTCAGCAATGCTTTTTAAATCAATTTTTATTTAAATAAAAATGGGATGGTATCAAGAGTTAGCTACAGGCTGGATTTTTGTCTTTACTAAATATTTGGGAAAAAGATAAATGATAGAAGTATTGTGAATTTTATAGGAAAAAGCCTTGAAGCAAGCAATTTTCTAGTCAGTCCTTAGCAATATGCAATTCCTTTTGGCTCAATAATCGTAATTTCTTTCAGATCATTTCAGGCTTCAACAATAAAACTATTGTGAAGCTATTATTTTTCTTTCGCGTAGGTTTTTTTTAACCAGGTAGCAACCCAACTGCTTTATAGTTTTCTATATTTTTTTACTATTCAGAAAGTGGTACTTTCCTAAGTAAATTTTCAACAGGAAACAGTCACAATAACAGGAATGCAGCCCAGTTCTTACGGATGCTAGGTTATTTATTCTTTGGAACATTTGTGATTGCTGAGGAGAGAAGGTCATAACTTTGAATCTCAACAGGAATAATCTGTCTTGCCTCAAGAGTGGCATTCAAAAAAAAAAAATCTAGCATGTCTATACATTTTTTTTAAATGCCAAGAATACAGTGTAGTATAGTTTCAAAAAAAAAAGTTAAGATATATCCTCATTTCTTTCTCTACCAGAGAAATATAATGAGCCTGAACAAACCATTCAAATGGTTTTTGTCAAGTACATGATATGTGAACTGAAAATGTACTTATCCAATCTTATAAGCTGTGTCTTTATTATAAGTTTCAAGGAATTCATGTGTCTTGCTTCTGGGAGATGAGTTTAATATACATTTAATTATCATTTTAGTATGTTTTTATTCTAGAATTATTTTTGAAATCTGCCTATATTAACTTCATGAATTTCCGAGATGGCTTTTCATCTTATACAGTTCCTTCAATTTTAATCACCAACAGCTAAGTGCAAAAGAATGGAATCCTTGTTAAAATTTGTACTTCAGCATATCTAGTCAAACCTCCTGCATACTTAAGCAAAATAAATTGACAGGCAAGCTGGCATGCAAAATTTGAAGTAGTTTTTTTTTACAATAGTTTCTACTTTCTTCTTTTGTCTGGTATATCTAATTCTAATCCAATGCAGCCAAAACCTAATATCTGTAGAAATAATTTCTTAATATAATAAATTATATCTCTTTTATTTAAAAGGAGAGATGGTTAATACGTGACTATTGCATAATTTCTTTGTAGTCAATGGAATCTCCCAACCAAAATGCTACTTATTTAAAAAAATCAAGTTAAAAAGGCATATAGGGTATGCCTCGATATATTTTTAGGTTGTCCTCAACTTATGGATGGTCTGAAATTTAATGTTTAATGATGGTCTGAAATTACAAAACTATGGAACACATGCTTTAAGGGATGTAAAGCATTTGTGGCCATTGAAAAACATCTCACACATCCAACTCCCACAGATACAAAATCAAGATCTAGGTGCTTGGTAATTTATTTGCACTTACAACTGGTTGCCAAATGCCCTGTGGTCTCATGAAATCCATTTGCAATCTTCTTTGCTGATTTCCCAAGGTGGTTGATGGGATTATAGTCATTGAGCAAAGCAGTCACATGATGTCTCATTTAGAATAGAATAGAGCTGGAAGGGACCTTGGAGGTCTTCTAGCCCAGCCCCCTGCTCAAGCAGAAGAACCTATACCATTTCAGACAAATGGTTGTCCAGTCTCTTCTTAAAAACCTCCAGTGTTGGAGCAGTCACAACTTCTGGAAGCAGGTTGTTCCACTGATCAGGAGATTTCTCCTTAGTTCTAGGTTGCTTCTTTCTTTGATTAATTTCCACCCATTGCTTCTTGTCGTGCCTTCAGGTACTTTGCAGAATAGCTTGACTCCCTCTTCTTTGTAGCAACCCGAGATATTGGAAGACTGCTATGTCATCCCTAGTCCTTCTCTTCATTAAATAGACATACCCAATTCCAGCAACTATTCTTTATATGTTTTAGCCTCCAGTCCCCTAATCATCTTTGTTGCTCTTTAATGACTGCTTTGCTCAACAACCAAGATTCCGGTTTTAGCTGTGATCATACATTGAAGATTACCTGTACTAATCATAATAAAAAGGATGTGTCTACTTATACTGTCTGGTTTTCCTTTTTTGATTATACTGTAACAATTATTTGTCAGTATATTCTTATTTAGAAGCAGGAATAGGATCATACACTGTCGGTGAGTCACTCTCTTCTTGCAGGGAAATCTCCCGTCTCCTGTTTTATTCTATTCTGTGATTTCCATTGCCCCTTTTTGGAGTATACTAATTCTGGTTAGACATTTAAAAACTGGCCATACTGTAATATTCCATAGTTTTGATAATGCATTTCATTAACAATGCCTCTTCATAGAGGATTCCTGAAATTGATTTCTCCAAAGCTCAAAGAAAAGTTTTCTTATAATTAATATGTAACACTTGTAACAGGATAGTTAAATACAAATTTAAGATGATTAAATTAAAATGTTAAAAATTGGTTTTTTTGTCCATGTTTTATGATATATAACACCTTTTACTTACCTCGTCTGTTAGTTCTCCAAATACTGTCAGGACATCTATTAGAAGACTTGCAGTATAAAACGATTTAATCATATTTCTGAGAAAAAAGTTTTTTTAGAATGGGAATAAAAATTAAAAAATAAACATTTGACAAATAATTAGACAAGTAAAAAAAACTGTTAAACTCACATGCAAGGGCAGAACTGAGAGCATTTCCAAGTTACATTATTTTTTAACCATTCATTCTAGTAGTTTTCCAGAGTTTTATGCAACATGCAAATTTTTATATATTTATTTGTATCCTACCTTTATTATATTTACAACTTACTCAAGATAGCGAACATATCCAATATACCTTCCTTCTCATATTTTCCCAACCACAATAACCCTGTGAGGTGGGTTGGGCTAAGAGAAAGTGACTGGTTCAAAGTCACCCAGTTGGCTTTCCTGGCTAAGGTGAGATTTGTACTCACAGCCTCCTACTTTCTAGTCTGGTGCCTTAACCACTAGCCAAGCTGGCTTTTTATTTAGATCAAATTTAGGCTGCACTGCTTCAATAGCTCAATTATTATGTGCAATATGTATTTTCCTTTGCTACTTACTTGTGAAACTGACCAGCACGATCTTCATTATCAGCATAAAGGAACATTTTCAATGCATAATTCTCCACATGGGCACAGCCAACTATTTCCTGAGTAATTGCTTCATTATCGCCAAACTCTTTCTTCATCTAAAAAAAATACACAATTTAGCTGGTTATTTATCAGGCCCCATATTGTAACTACAGGAGCAAATCAGGATTTGTGTTTCTCAAGTTGGGTTGTAAACTTTACTGTTGTCAACAGGGAGAATACATTTTGTTCTTGTCAGTGCAACTCGACAAGTTAGATTTTACTTCTTCCTATGCTTTAGAAATAGAGATTGTAAATTATAGTAACTATAATAAAATTCCAAGTCTTTTTTTTTCAAATTCCTCATACTGTAGTTATTAAAACAAACTGAAGATCTCAAACTGGCTTCTTGTCTTCTCACTGACACGGATGAATAACATGCATGTAGGTCGGATGAGCAAGGGAAATAACTAGCTCAAGCAAACTTGTAGGGGCATGTTGAAAATAACTTTTAAAAATACATTTTTACTTAAGGTTATTTGCTTCTTCTGTCCACTTTTTCAATCTTAAATAGCAAAAGCTCTTAGACTTATATACCACTTCCTAGTGTTTTACAATCATCTCTAAGTGGTTTACAATGTTAGCAAATTGCCCCCAACAATCTGGGTCCTCATTTTACCCACCTTGGAAAGATGGAAGGCTGAGTCAACCTTGAGCCACTCAGAGTGAGCAGTGAGTTAGCCTGCAGTACTAACCACTGGGCCACCATGGCATGACAATTTACCTTCCCACTCTGCCCTAATAAGACATGTATAAAGATTCAACAATATTTAATTCATAACCTAATTCATGCCAATGAATGCAATAGAACTATATAGTTACCTCTTGTAGAGCAGCATGAAACATTTAATATAAATAAAGGTTTAATTAAATGAAGAGTTGATAGCTAATTAAATTGTGCCAAAGATCTGAAGAATTACAGGAATGCTTAATCAAGCAGTCTAATACAATTCAAAGAGCTGTTTTCAAAGATGTTACAGAATACAAGGAGCTTCAGATTTCTTGATGAAATCAGTAAAACAGATAATACTATACAGTTACAACAGGTGGATGCTAGGTTGCACTTTTGGGATTTAGGAAAACCGTAGTTTATCCTTACAAAATAACACCATTCTGGCAAAGAGGGGAAGAGAACCTGTGGCTCAGTGGCTAAATCACTGACTAGTATGTATAACTGCCCAGGTTCGAATCCCATAAAGGGTATGGCTAACTGATGAAGGCAAAAAAGCCAGAAATGGTCCATCTTAGAGAGGGTTAAATTAAGAAATGAGAAACAGTCTTTTTTCTTTAAACCTATATTTTTATAAAGCGTGTTGCGACTTGAGCCTGCTCTATGCCCCTAGTTGGGGGTGGCAAGGCAAGAGATATTGTAAAAAGAGTAAACTGCAGTATGGCAGTTGAAAATGTCAAGGTGTTCACAATCAGACCAATCTGTCTGAACTCCCTACACTCTTCTCTACTCTTATCATTGTACTTCAATTTTATAATTCCAACAATTGTAAAAAAATATGGACATCAAAATCAACAATGTCACTGGATTGTGTAGGCAGCAAAATCCACAGAAGGGCAGAATGTTGCAGGAAGCACAGAAATGTAACTGCTAGACTTAAGTCTGTAAAAAGATGTTGAAATCCATGTTATCAATGCCTTGTTAAACTCCGAAACCAAAAATGTTACTTATTTGCCTGTCATCTGAGAGTAGACCTTCAGTTTCCTTATTCATCCCATAAATATCAAATCCAGAATACGTAAGAAATTCTAAACATAAAATTGGTTAATTCATTAAGATTGGTAATGTTTTGCATAGAACTTGCAACTGGTAAAAAATTTATATTTGGCCCAAACTCACACATGTACACTTCCAAAATTGATCATGAAAACCTTTTATAATTAATACAGCTCAGATTTCATAATTCTTAAGATAATTCCACATAAAAACATTGCTAGATTCAATTCCAGATATAATGTGTTATACGTTCAGCTATTCCTTCAATGCAATGGGAATTAGTGATGTACACAAGTATGTTATGATTTCAAATGTTTAGCCAGTATCATCATGGTGAGATGGGTAGATATATAAATCTAACAAAAATGAATAAATATTCATTAGACCAATTTACAGATATTTTTCTGGAATGGGAAGTTTCCAAATACTGTAGGAAATTGCTTTCACTGGCAAATCACAAACTCATATCATTTTCATCCATATGAAGTAGCAAGAGATGGAAATGGTTCTTTTCAAAATAAATACTACCTAATTAAGAACAAACATATTGCAACTTCATTCATGTTTTTATTATTACCAGTAACATAATAAGGAACTTACAGCTTCAAGCTGATCCATTAGTTTGCATAAGAATTTACGACATTCTGGGTTTTTACTGTCAATCTTCATACCTGTCTGCATAGCATACAAACGACCTGTAAAAGTAAAAAGAGTCAATGAAGACTTCAGAGGAATTTCCTATTGCCCTTAGGTTACATACTGTCCAAACTATTGCCAATGAAGTCATGCCTTGTGAGATAGATAGATAGATAGATAGATAGATAGATAGATAGATAGATAGATAGATAGATAGACAGACAGACAGACAGACAGACAGACAGACAGACAGACAGACAGAAAGAAAGAAAGAAAGAAAGTGGAGTTACTCTAAGTGTCTCTTTTGTAATAGCCTTATTGTCTACACCATGTTGTCAGGGCTTGCTAGATATTTAATCACAACTGGTGAAAAACACTGCTAGATACAATTCAGCAATGTATGGACAGTAACATGTGCAGAATTTATTAATACCAAAGCCTTGTTTGCATTTAAATCTGATATAAAGCCTATAAAAATGGAAGAATTTGAAAGCAGTATTTTTAACTCTTGAATTATAATTTGTTTCCACAACTGATTCCTGTACTGTATTACAAACAGCTTTGGAACGACAAGATTTTAAAAGTTTTTCATGTTATAGGGAGGTATATGCAGCATATGGACAAATATAGTTTTAACCCCCTAGTTTTTTATGGCAGAGAGACCTGCACTCTTCCTACATTTACCCGTCTTCTTGGCTATGTTACCATGCTATATTAAAGGTTACACTAAAATAAATTCAATTATGTTTTGTTTGTGAAAACACCATGTCCATAAAATGACCATGCCAAAATCCAAACAATATGTATTTTAATTAATTAAACACCAAAGGAATTATGTTTATGTTTATCTTGCCTTTTTCATAGATAACTCAAGGCAACAAACAGACCTAACATCCTGCCTCTTATTGTTTCTCACAACAACAATCCTGTGAGGTGGGCTGGGCTGGGCAAAAATGACTGGCCTCAAGTCCCTCAGCTGGTTTCCATGCCTATGTGAGTCCATGAAATCACAATCTCTGAGTTTCTAGACCAGCAATTTATCTGACTAAACAAAATTAAACAATTGAACTGCATTAGTATTAAACCCCTAAGCACTGATGTGTTAAAAGAAATTGTGAAGTGGTGAACATTGTCATAGCATGTGTTATCCCTAACTCATGTTTTTAAATTTTGAATACAATACAGCTTTCACTACAGCTTCATTTGAGGAACATCTTAAAACAAGTAGTATAAAAGCTGTGATTGATATACAAACTAAGTCTAAGGTAATAATTGTATTTTTAAGGATGTAACAAATTATAATTTTAGTAATATGAACTATTGATAGCACTTAAGTGTGAAAATCTGTTCCAATGTGAATATTGCTGTCTCAGAACACCTTCAATAATTTAAATAAATAGTACCTTTCAAAAATTGACTGAAGTTCATACATTTCAATTTTCTTGAGAGTAAACTGAAAATGAAAATCTATTGGAATCACACTGGTAAATGAAAGTCTAAATTGGATTTAATCCAAAAAACAGAATACAATCTACAGTTTTTCTTGGAATATTTATAGATTTGCCACTATGTGTGCAAAAGCTGGCAGATTTAATTTACAATTAAACTTTAACTGAACCATTTTTATTCTGTAGCAGGAAAAGAATACAATTCTCAGATACAAACCAATCCATAAAAATAACAGAGATAAAAATTATAAACATATACAAAAATCATATAAAATACTTAGATTCTTTAGCTTCTGTTGGATTGCAAGTTCATCTAAAACCAGTCCTGTATATTTTTATTTCTCCCAAATAGTTGTGTGCAGCTCAATTGTATTTGACTGTGCAAATTTTTAATACATATTGGCCTCAGGCTAAATTCTAAAAAAAGTTCAGTATTATGAGAATTAAACTGTCTTTAAAATGAGACAACTAATTTGTGAAACTGATGGGTTTTATGTGAGGGAAATGAAGGAGAAATGAAAGAGAAGACAGGTGTTTGCACTGGGATCAAAAAGCATAAATCTATGAATTTTATTTTACTAAATATAAATGAGAATAATGGCTCCTATTTCACTTTCAACCACATTCAAAATACTCTAATTTTAGTCTTTCTATTTAGTTTATAAAGAAATGTGCCCATTTTATTTTTAAATTGCACCAACATAAGTATTTCACTGAAAAATCTTGTTCTGAACACATAAACAAGGAGCTGGCAACTGCACACAGGCGCAAGCTATTCATCTTTGATTATATTTTATTGGATGCTCACACAAGGGTATTCACTTATTTTCACTTATTTTATTTATTCTTTCACCAGCTGTCTCTTACTTGCCAATAAAATGAAAAGAAACATGTGTGTGATTATAACCAGAAAGTAGAAAATAAATTTCCCCACACTCCTACATTCCTTTATTTCCTATTAAGTACCTGTTTTAATTCTCCAGAGTTAGAACATTTAAGTGCCTCAGAGTCATTTTGGAAGACATGCATTACTTCAACAAGTGTTTTCTAAACCAGAAGACACTAAAGTAACAATTTAGAAACTGAATTGTGTTTCCCCGTTAACTGCAAAGTCTCAAAGATGTTTTTTCAAGAGGCAACTGGACTTTGTTTTTCTTTGAAGACATTTTGCTTCTCATCCAAGAAGCTTCTTCAGTTCTGAATGGATGGTGGAGAATGGAAGGATTTGGAAGATGGGGAATGGAAGGAATCCTTCCATTCTTCACCAACCAGTCAGAACTGAAGAAGCTTCTTGGATGAGAAGCGAAATGTCTTCAAAGAAAAACAAGGAAATCCCGTTGCCTCTTGAAAAAGCACCTTTGAGACAACCATGACCTGGATGACTGAGAATCTCTATAGACAGTTAATTGCAAAGATTCTCAGCGATAAATGAATTTCCTCCATTTATTTATTGAGAAAATGTATATGGCCACCCATCGTAATATACTGACATTTTATGGTAAGAGGTATGAGACTGTCAGTTTCTAAACTAGTCCCAATTAATTTTTTTATTATTGAAGGATAGGGTAGGGCAAAATGATTTGAAATTGTTTTTAAAAAATGCACTAGGGATGTGTATGCTTGTAAAATGATTCAGAAATTGTATTTCATATCTTGCACAAATGCAAAACTATAGTAATAGTAATAGTAGTAGTAATAATAATAATAATAATAATAATAATAATAATAATAATAATGATGATGATGATGATGATGATGTAATTTTAATGAACAGCAGAGCAGTGTTGCACTGATGCAAGACCTGAAGTATATCTTCCAAATAATTGTTGAAGTGTATAGCTCTAAAATAAATATTAGAAATTATAAAGTACCGAAAAACAAGCTTTTCTCCAAAAGCAAAAGATTACTTTATGAATGAGCTCTTTCTGAGTTAGATATTTCACAAAATATATGTAATCAAAATTTTGAAAGTTTAAAACACACCAGGAAAAATGGCCAGAACAGTGTAAGAGTTATTGTTTTCATCCTGCATTTATGTGTTATCTTTTCTATTTGATTTGTTCAGAGAATGCACAGTAAAACAGTATACAAGAGACAAAACCAAAAACCTGTTATTCCAAAAATTACACAGGCTCAGACAGAAAGCCTAACATCTTGAGCGTTTTTATTTATTTATTCAACTTATATGACCCACCCCCCCATCTCAAAAATTGAGTCTGGGCAGCTAACAGAAAATAAAAGATTAAAATAATAAAAACAAGAAATAACATATATAAGATCCAAAGATAAAGCCAACCAATGTCATCAATGTAGCCAAGATATGGGCTCAACCACCCAACCCAGTTCCCAAGCTCAGCAATCAACCCAGGTTTTCAAAGCCTTATGGAAAACCAATTGAATTAGGAAAAGGATAATCTCTGGGGCAATAATATTCCAGAGGGCAAGTGCTGGTATATAAAAGGCTCTCCTCCAGGGACTCACCAGAACCAGCACATGGCTCTCCTGATGGACCTCCCAGAATAGGTAGACACAGCTGGGGAGAGATGGTCCCACTAGTAATCTAGTCCCATTTTATGAAGGCTTATAGGCCACTAACAGCACCTTGATCTGAACCTGGAAGCGTACTGGCAACTAATGCAGCTTATGGAGTAGAGGTGTTACATGCACTGAATGAAAGGTGCCCATAACTGCCTGTGCCACTGTATTTTGAACCATTGAAGATGCTTTTAGATACTCTTGAAGGGCAGCCCCATGTAGAATGCATTGCAATAGTCCAAGTGAAAGATGATCAAGGCATGAGTCACAGTGAGCACAATAGCATTTCTGTTTAGGCATTTCCCTGAGGTAACATTCACCATAATTGCTTAAACAGTATATAAACATCTGACTATTAGCGAAGAAATTTTTTGTTTACTGTTTTAGTAAAAAAAATGGAAACAAACTTTCTTCTGACAAGAACAATATAACATGCCACACTCAAGAAGGCTTTAGGGAACAATCTTCTGGAGTGGAAAAATGACAGTAAAGAATTTTTTTAAAGTAGACCACATGGAAAGAGATAAAAGAGATAATTTGATTTTTCAGATTGAATCATTAATTTGTCATCACATGCATATCACCAAAGTCCAGAATACATTTATTTAGGACAAAGGTTTAGAATTCTATAACCCCTGATTCTGGATGCAATAAGGTTTTATTTAAAAGTCAAGTCCCTTGTGAGCTGAGCTCGACTTCTGATGGCTACACAAACATGTTACTCAAACAAAAACAATAAATAAGCTTCCAAGAATATGCTCAGCCATCTAAATATGCATAACATAGCCAGGCCTAAATTGTATCAATAAATTTGAATAGTCAAATAGATTTTACTATAGGTTGACTTTTCCTGTTCACTCCTTTTTCAGGCAATCTTATTCAACAATGGAAACTCAGGAAAGATTTTGGAGAATATGGTTGAAGGCTGCAAACGGGTGACTATCCAGTTCTAATACTTTTTTTTCAGATCGAATCAATTTTTTTTTTTTGGTCATCATGTGCATATCATCAAAGTAGAACACACTTTATTTACAAATGCTTAGCATTAATAACCTTTGATTCTAGATACAATATGGAAGTACTTGTAAGTCAAGTCTCCCATGAGCTGATTTTGACTTCTGATGGCTACACAGACATGCCTATATTGTTTTCTTGGTGGAAATATGGAAGTGTTTGTCACTGCCTTCTTCAGATTTGTTTTTATTTCTTAATCTAGTCTATAGCCCTGGTATTCCTGGAGGGTCTTTTGCCCAAATATTATCCTGTTATAACTTTGCTTAACTCTCAAGTCTAGAATCCTACCCACTATCTATTTATACTTTTGTGAGGGTGAACCTATTGAGCCCAGTAGTAGTTTCAAAGTGACTCTTAATTTTTTAAAATCGGTCATAATTGACTACATGCTGGGCACCTGTTTTATTATAAATATAATTTATTGGAGTCTACACAGGGCAACTGAAGTCAAATAAGCTCACTATACTCTTTTACATGCTATCTTCTCAGATTTCATCTTTTTGATGATAAAAAAACAAGGGAATGCGAGATAAACAAGAATTATTTTTGGCAGGCTGACACTATACTCTTTGACCAAGTAACTATAGATATTTAGTCATCTGCAACATTTTAAGTGTTTGGTAATGCTTATTTAAGCCAGAGAATCAATAGTGATGCTTCTAAATATGGTGCAACATCTGCAATAACATGGACTACTTTTAGCATTAATTTTCAGAGTCCAAGCATAAAAAAGGGAAAATAGTGCTAAAGAACAGCACTAAGACAGCTGAGCAAAGAGGAGCATGGTTAATATCATATATGTACACTCTTTTTTTACCCATCATTTGCATTTGACTATACTTCCTGCCAAATTATTTATTTTGTGTTCACCAACTTTAACTGGGAAACATTGTTAAATTCATGCCATGCTTTGGGGACTTCAAAATGCTTCGTTCACACCCCCTGAGTGTCAAGCCTGCCCTTCTCTGCATTCAGCCACCAAAGAAGGATCACTCAGACCTAATTAGTGTTGGGGTCAAAAACCTCCAGGGAGCACCAAGGCCATTGCCTCAACTTTCCAGAAGAAGCCTATGGAGAGCCATGCCCTGCACCAGTGATGGCGAACCTTTTAGAAACTGAGTGCCCAAACTGCAACCCAAAACCCATTTATGCATCATCGAGTGCCGGGTGGGTGTAGCCCATTGGCTGGGTGTGGCCCATTGGCTGGGCGTGGCCCATTGGCTGGGCGTGGCTGCAGTGGTAACGGCAGACTGGGTGGGACTAAAAAGTTCAATCAATCAATTCCAACTTTGCAAGATCTTTTTTTCCCCGCGAGAAGTTGAAATTGACTGATTGAACCTTTTTTTTTTTGCACACGACGGCGGAGGCCTAAAGCGAAAAGGTTTTATAAAACCCAGCTGAAGGCCTAGGACTGGGGCGACGGCGCGCGTGCCCACAGAGAGGGCTCTGAGTGCCGCCTCTGGCACCCGTGCCATAGGTTCGCCACCACTGCCCTGCACTGTCACCAAGAGAACTTCATAGACTCCATGAAGTTACCAAGGGTCAAAAGTAGGTTTTAGTCAAACACCTTGAAGGGGGGGTCTGGGATCCCGTCACCCATTGAATCGAAGATCTCTTGCCCCCCAGCTAAGGCTTCTCTTCATTTCCCCCCCCCGCCCTAATGATAGTAGCCTGCGCAATAATGACAAGGGGGAGGGTCGTTCTCGGTTTGGGGGGGGCATAAGAGTCCCATAGAGAACGTCAGCGGGGGCTTCGCCGACTGTCAACCGCTCTCCCCTAACTTACAATAATAAGCTACCACAGGTTCACGCTTGTCCAGCTCCTGCGCAGTTCTCAGGAAGTGTTGGACGGGCTTGAATTGTGGAGGTAACGGTGGGAGTCCCACGGCAGCCATGGCACCATAGATTCACTCCAAGGAAGGCAACTCAGTAAGGGAAACTGCCGCCACTACTACCACTCCTTCTCCTATTGACTACTATTCAAGCACTTCCGCTTCCGGGGCGAGAACCGAAGAAACGGGCTCCGACCGACTCCTTTTAAGCGCGCATGCGAAGTAGGGCGCGAGTAGAGGCATCTGGATGCGCGGGTGGGGAGCTGATTGAACAAAGAGGTTGCGCTTTCTGTGGTTTTGTAATAAACGTCCGGGTTCTTTTCTGGAAATGGGAACCCTCCATTTGCAGGTAAAGAGAGGTAAAAAGAGAGAAGCGGGGACGTAAAATCAAGCGATCTTTTAGGAGAAAAACGGTTTGGTAGAAGATGATAAAAAGGGATTCTTATTTTATTTTCAGGCAGGCGTTGTTCACAACTTTTTCAGGCAGAAATAAATTCTTTTGTTTAGGGATGAGTT